CTGCATTTTTTAATTTTGAGCAATGGAAGTTTGGATGGGAGTGTTTGTTTTTTTTCCATTTGAGTTGTAGGATCTTCAGAGACGTTTCCATTGCATAGACTATCACTGACACATTGCTCTATTATTTGCAGGCCTGTGAACTGAAGAAAACATGGCACAATGAACATTCACATGCTCTTTATCCACCTGGATATATTGTTCTATGGTGTTTGTTTTCAAAACCAGTGTTGACCTTTGCCAGCAATGTGAATGAAACATTCCTGCTAAATATTATCCGAGTTTTATTTTTAAGTGGATCTAAACACTACACATACTCATCATGGCTTGGATAATTAACCAGTATGTGCCCGTTGCTAGATTAAACATTTGATAAATTCACAAAACAGTGGCTTCAGTTTGAATTCCTGCCTGAGTGAGAATATGGAGGGGATGTTCATCAAGATGATACTGCAAAACTCACTTCTGTGTCCTTGTTTCAAATTTCAGGTCTACTGAAGGTCTAAACTAGTAATTTCCTCCCTCCAGGCCCTGCAATACATGTCCTGCTGCCTTTGTGTTAGGAAACCTTCAATAGGCTCTGAAGACAAGTTTTTGGTGACACACTGGGATAGATTTACTAAAGCTGGTTCCCTTGGAATCTTGTGCACCGATGCATGGTTGCCAATCAGCTTCTAACCTCAGCTTGTTCAATTAGGTTTTAGCAATTATTCCCATAAGCCGATTGGTTTCCATGCAGAAGTGCATGAGATCCTGAGTGAACCAGCTTTAGTGAATGGGGTGTCACTGAGGCATGAGCAGCTCTAGTGACAAAGTAGAAATTCTCAGCACCGGGTCTTTGGAAAAATGGCTCATTGGTGGCAAACAAAAACATGTGATCTATATTTCTGCCCACTTTCTTCGTACACAAATTTAACCACGGCTTGAATTAATCAAGCCTTAAGTCAAACAAGTACTTTTCCCATTATAAGAAATTTAACAGTTCCATTTAAAGCTAGGTACTAGTGAGCTGAAAGAAAAAACAGCAAAGTGGATGCAGGAATCTCCGCACAGTGCTACTATATTCTGACAGTGGGACTCCTGAACTGTCAGAATAGACTGATCAGTGCTGTAGCCGGTTGGCTGCAAGCCGCTGAGTGAAGGAGGTTATCAACTGGACCTTTTGACAGAAGCCAGTCTAACAACTGGCTTCTGCTGAACCATGAGGGTTACACACAGAGCGGAATTTGTCTTGTCCCTGCTGAACCCTGCTTTAAGCTTTAACAGTCAACAATCCTGCCCAGAACCCTGAAGATCTCACAAGTCCCATGGAACAGAGCTTTGCTGGTCCATGGCACACCCCAAACATATAAGGTCTACCATTTATTTGGGTCATGGACCTGAATCTGGTGATTAAAGGTATGTTTAAACTTTGAAATGGGCATACTATGTTATCATTTGCCATTCCTTTTTTTCACATTTAATTCACTTCTTCATTGCCTTAAACAAGGTCCTTTCACAAAATGTAGGACAAAATACAAACTTCCCACACAAATAAGCACTTGTTGTCCTTTTTTAGATGCACTGGATACCTGGTTTTTGGTATTTGTGCAGCTCTGCCAATGGACAATGCCCCATCTGACAGATCATTTATATCTGACTTCTCTAAACCATCTGTTGAGACTATTCTACATTTAAGGATATTTTTCTTGTAGTTAAATGGTGACACCTATTACACAATATTTAATCCTATTCTGTATATAAATGGAAGAATTAATGTCAGACCATGCTTCGTAAACCAGTATTTCTTCTCTAGAGCAGACTTGCTCTCTCAGTGAAATTGAAAAATGTCTGGCATGTAATTAAACTACTGTACCTGGCACCACAATGTACAGATTCATCAAACTCAACATTTGTCGACTAGAATAACCTCTAATTTTAAACTACAAATCAATTTCCCATTGACTCAGATATACAGGTAGGCAAAGAAAAAGGCAGCCACTCCTTTGGGTTACTTTGCTGTTGGGTAACAATAAATACAATGCGTTACAAATAGGACAGGGCATACAGTACATGTGCTGACAGGGATCATACTGAGCTGACAGGGATCATACTGACAGGAGAAGAGTGAACACAATTGATGATTCATCAGTGTGTTGCTGTTTCGAGTTAGCAGATGGGACCATTGTATTCCCTATTTATAATAAAAAAAGTGGTGTAACCTTTCTGGCTATACTGTCTTGCAGATAGGGCCGAATCTAGCCTATCTGATCTGGGGGCACAGTAAAAGAAAAGTTAGGGGGCATAATGTCAACTCTGTATGTGAGTCACTGACAGTCTGTCACACATGATATGGAGAGAAACTATTATGTAGTCATTAGAGTCCTCCTTTACATCATGACTACTCATCAGTATCCCCCTTTACATCAGGTTCCCATCAGAGTGCTCCCTTACATCAATGTCCCCAACAGAGCCCCCCTTCCTTACATCAACTGTCCTCATCAGAGTGTCCTCTAACATATGATTAGTTATCCCCATCAAAATGCTCCCTGACATCGGATGTCCCCATCAGAATGGCCCCTTACATCCAGGAATCCATCAGAGTGCCCCTTTACATCAGGGTCCCCATCAGAGTGCCCCTTTACATCTGGTGTCCCCATCAGAATGTCCCCTTAAATATGATTAGTTATCCATATCAGAATGCCCCCTTATATCAGGTTTCCCCATCAGAGTGCTCCCCTATATCAGCTGTCTGGCTCATGGATCTGTGAATGCTCAGACTCAGGCTCAGACTGGCTCATGGATCTGTGAATGCACTCTCATAGACCTGGGGGTGAAAAAGTAAAATCTGGGGGGGCACAGCCCACCCCAGCACCCACCTAGATCTGGCCCTGCTTGCACAGGTGTATGCATTACAAAAGTGCCTGGACAGATTTACAAATCTTTGGTAGATTAGACATTTCAAATGTGTAAATTTTGCTGTCTGCCTAAAGATCAGCTTCTAACAAAATGGGTTCCAGTTCCTATGTGCCATAGATCATAACTGTTCACAGACATTTATGCTAAGAGCTAGATGCCCATTATGCCCACAGCTGGCCAGATCAGTTCTAAGACTGCAAGCAACAACAAACAGGTCTTTGGTATGTAGTTCATATACAGCTTTGAAGTGACTCAACGTATGTCAATTACAGGTTTTTTTTACAAATCTTTCTTTTAAAAACAACAAATTATAGCTTGGAATTCCCCGTGAGAGCTTAGAGATGGTTCACAGCTATTACAAAGCAAAACCTGGGTTACTTTATGTGCACACACCTTCACCTATCTGTTTATTATAATGTCTAATATTCCAGGGGGCAGACCATCTGTAAGGAAGTATTTAAGACTAAGAAAGGAAAGATGTCATCTAATCTTTCCATAATACAGAATCAATCTTATGAACAAACACATATCCAATTACGTTGCGCAGCAAAGAAAGCTTTGTGAAAACAAAGTTTTTATGTATAGGATACTTGGATTTTCTGTGCAGAGTATAATCTAGTGACCATGGAAACCCAGGTTGGACATGCAACTTTAATAAAAAAAAATCCATCACAATCATTCTAGTCTCTCTGTAAAATTTATTATGATTCAACAAAAACTTTGATAAGCACTAACCGTTTAAATGGTGCAAACGTATAGAGTGTTTACAGACACTGCAAAGGCAATAATAAAGATGACTCAGTTTATAATGTAAAGGAAAAGAGCGCCCACAGATCATTACTGAGTAACAGCTGGAATATCTATAGGTTGTCATAAACCAAATCTCTCTGAACAGACAAAGTTTTCATTATTTAAACAACTTTATACTGCTTACCTAAGAACCAGCCCTGGGGCTGCCTGCAGTGTATCCAAAGAGGTGCATGGTATACAAGAAAACACATCAATGTACCTTCTGGGCAGGCAAGACCTTGTACCATGGTCAGGCCACTTACTTAAAGAGATATCACCACAGGGAAAAAGCTTCTGATATTTCCCAGTGGGGCCTGTGCACATAGCATTTGCTCCCATTAAAATACGAGCAGTGCTTGTAAAAAAAGAATCTCTCTCTTTTCTGTTATTCCTGGCTGTAGCTTCACCTTCCCCTTCCCGAAGCCTAAAAATATAGGTATTCCCATGGGCGGCGGGGGAAAGGGGGGGGGGGGAAGTAACAACCAGTCCTGAGCCCTGTACCCTATACAGAGTCCAGATCTGCAGGTTACAATTCAGGGAAACAGACGGAGTGGAAACTGTCAGCATGTGATGTAAATGATTGTAGCTGAAGGAAAGTGTTTTCATTCACAAAAATCAAGCTGACAATAGCACAGACCGACTACACTTGTCCAAGATACCCTAGTATAGTACCTGGCTTCTGCTAATCTCAACTTGTGTAATTGTGAATGAAAGCCATTTTCTCCAGCTGCAATTATTCACAACACAAGCTGACAGTTTTCACACTTTCCATTCCGCTGATTAGCAGGTTACAACTCTGGACTGGAGAAATTAGGAGACTGAATTTCACCGCTCAGCAATGTTCTGTCTGGCAGCTTAGAAGAAGGGAGACCAGGACTGTGTGGGATAAGTGTGTACAGCCTCAGGCCTCCTCTCCTCCTGAGCTGACACTCAAAATCCCACAGTTCAGCAACCCCTGCACAAATTTAGGTACAGACAATTGCTATGTGCACAGGATCCCATGGTGGGTTTAACAAGCTTTAATGTCTTCTGGTGATACCTCTTTAAATGTAAACTAGTTATAGGTTGTCTGTGGGCAGTATAGGGGTTTTTAGTCAGATATAAAATAATCCACTTCCCAACGTAACCTGTTAGAAGAGCACATTGCATAATATCACTGACATTGTGTCAGAAAACAGCTGAATTAGAGAATAAATGGAATAACAGAACTTTACATAATACTTAGCAAGTCAAGTTAGACACATTTTCAAAGAAACCAGAAACCCACCCAAATAATTAGCTCACAAGGTATAGTCATAGCTGATTACAAAACGTACCCATAAGCACCATTGCTGATCAGTTTCATTGTTTCAAAGTCAGATTCACAAGGTTTTCTTCGCATTTTCAGTGACCGAGTTGAGCTCTGGAAAAGAACAAATTGTTAAAACACAGGTTGCAAACAGCGGCAAAGTTACGTTATCTAGCGTTCTGAAGTGAAATCGCATCCATTCCAGTATAGGTTTGTAAAAATTAACTTTTGCTGTTATTTCTATTTAGGGTATATGTTAATACACTATATTGACACCCATCCAAATTACTGAATTTGGTTCACAATGGCAGATCCATAAAGACATGGTTTGATCAGTCTGGTGTGGAGGAACTCGAATGGTCTACACTAAGCCTTAAACCCAGCCCTACTTAACACCTTTACAATTAAGTGGAATGTCAATTGTGAGCTAGGTGTTCTCATCCAACATTAGTTTCTGTCATCATAAACACTTTTCAGGATGAATGGGCACTAATTGCCTTAGACATATTTCCATAATTTTGTAAAAAGTCTTCCCAGAAGAGTGGAAGCTGTTATGGAAGCAAGGATGGGGCCAACTCTATATCTACATACAGTTTTGAAATGAGTAGTCTAGCAAGCTCATATAGGTGTGATAGTCAGGTGTCCACAAACTTTTGGCCATAAGGTACCAGTTTCATATTTCACAAACCTCTAATATCTACCAGTTTCCTTTCCAGTGCTAAGATCTCATAACCTGGGATCTAATCTCCACCTACCTACTGCGTTCTTCATTTATTTTCCATCACAGAGAATGCAAAAGGATAGCTCAGAGTAGCTAGCCATGGGATTTGTAATCTATCAAAGTGAATCTTTCTCCATCTATCATTAATGAAGTATTGGGTAGACAGTATATGGCAGACATATGTACAATATTTCTTACTAACCTGACAAATACAATTTAGTTTGTAACACTTACACTGACAGATTCATCAGTCTCAGGAGTTTCCACTGTACTACTATCATAAGTAGCCAACAAGGCCATTTCTGAAACAGAAGAATGGGAAAAGTAGAATGTAGAAGCAAAGCCTACAGGAACACACAATACAGTATAAGAGGTAGAAACATTTTAATGCCTCAGTATTTTAGCATTAAATGCAGTAAGAAATACTTCAGGGTATTTAAGTTTGGTAAGATACGCCTGGCCCATATTTTCCTGCATCTTTACTGTATATATGGTAAATGCACAAGTTGATTTCATGACCTCCTACAATATAGTGCACTACAACTAATAGCTAAAAGATGATAAAACAGTACAGATCAATATAGAATGCCACAGGTATATATCTATAAAAGCAGAGATTTAGGTAAATATGAAATGTTGCATATGAAAATTATGTAGCCTTAAGCCTGTTTTTGTAGCCTCTAGCCTCCTTTTCCCATGGTTAGTTAAGCTTTGCTAAATGAGTACTATTGTTTGGAGAGCTCAACAAGGGATGACTCGGTCAGAGGTTGCAATTAGGCAAATTTTGCTGTAGTTGGCTAACCCATAGGGTTCTAGGAATTATTTTGCCATGTATTAAATGTTTATTTGTATGATAAAGCTTACATACTGTATAAAATTTTAAAAAAAAATAGGATTTTGGCTTACCTGTAAAATCAATACAGGACATAGGTTTTTATTCTTAGACCATGGGACATGCAGCTGCCTTCACATGATTGGACACTGGGAAACAAATTTGTAAGGACATCCCTATCATAGTTCCGTCCACTCCAAGCAAGCCTCAGATCTGTGCCTTTGATCATGGTATGTCCAAAAGCAATGTATCTGAGAGATGGGGCAACAAAGCAAATGCTAGCAGGCCTATGTTACAAATAGGCACACAGAGGACTTTGAGTTGAGAATGAAGACCAGTCTTTCAATCTGGGAAACTAATACCTCATGCTGAAAAGCGCATGATACCCTGACGGGTCTGGTAGAGTGTTCCCTAATAGAAATTTGAGGAACCTTATTCTTCAAATTATTGCTCAAATGATGACTTGCCTAATCCACCTGGAAAAAGTGGAATAAGAGGCAGGATGCTCCCTACTGGTAATTTGGATTGTCTAAGAGATGCCAAAGTTGATATGTAGCCTCACCTAGCACATACCACATATACAACATACAGACAGTGGAGGTAAAACTTCTTTGAAAGTTTTAAAACAAGACATAAAAAGCACAGAACAATGTCAGTTAGGGTGTGTAGTGCTACATCTGCAGGAGTTGATTGGTAGATTGGGTTCTCGGTTCTTCTGCCGTGACTCTGAGAACAACCTCAGCCCCACTCACACACTAGGTTCAGCAAATGGATACTACACTGCTACTGGGAGCGCAAATATCGCTGCCTTTCACACAACCAAGGTACAGAATAAAAAAGCAAACATCACACTGGTTAGTGGTAAACTAATCCAATATATTGTCATGGGTTGCAGTAAATAGCAGCATGCCCATAAATGAGTAAAGGGGAATTAGGTAAATCACAGTTCCTTAGACAATATGTTCACTAGGCTATAGCAGTAAACAACAGAGCTCTATGCAGCTAAATTAGAGTAGACCTGGTAATCCAAAACATCAGCAATAAATAATGGTATTAGAAAACAGTAAAAGTAAGGATAATCAATACTGTGACAACTCATCTGTAAACAGTAGGTTATATCCACAGAGTTCACTCTATATGAATGGCAGCAATGAAATTTACAACTTCCTATGTACAACAGGCAAAGTTCTTGTGATGCAGCTGAGTGAACAGTCTATAGCCCTAGTTCGTCAGCCGGAACACTCTGGGGCCCAATCTTCATGGTGTTGCACAAGTACAGTCCCAGTAAAGTATGCATGCAGTAAATGATTCTGCCAGTTAGATGGCAAGTCCCTATGTGTTTGGTCTTTGCTAGCAACAGGTACTGGCAGCAGTGTCCTCTCACCAGCCCCAGTGATACAGCAGTGGTTCTGTTGTTGGTTCTGTTGTTCAGGTGTCAGCTCACTTCTGGATCTGCCTGGAGCATCTCCAATTTTCACCATGCAGCCGCAGGCTTGTAGTAGGTTGATATGCACATGGGAGCAGCAGTGTGCATACCTCAGTCTTCTTGCAACAAAGAGAAAATCCCTCTTTATTCAGCCTGTGAAAATACAGTTCTCTCTCTCTCTCTCTCTATACCTGGTTTGCATTGGGAATTTTAGTCCAATCATCCATTAATTGCCATAGTAAAATTTATTTCCCAAACTTCCATTTCCCATTTTTCGTTGAGGCCAACTATTCAGACTCTTGAGCTCCTTCTGCTTGTCAACTCCCCCTGGTGGATGCAAGGTAGTGTTAAACCATTCAGCTGAGGTCCATTGGGAACAAAAAGAGCACTGTAGCACCATGTTCTAAATTTCTCTGTCACTAGCCAAGCACCTGGCTACTGGTGGAAAGAGGAAAGCACTTTGACAAGAAAGGAGGACTTAGAACCAAGACAATGTTATCTCTGTGTAACACCAGGAGTGGTTCTTTACAGGATAAGGCCCACTAGCTCCAAGACATGCCTCACAGAGGTGACAGCAATGAAGAAGGTGAACTTGAACGCAAGGAAAGCCAGGGTGACACTTTTGATAGGCTCAAAAGATAGGATTAACCCCAAGGAGTATTTCCTAGGATGGAAATTGCACAATGCAATTTAGGCCTTCCAAGTGTGATAATAGACTTTAAAATAAGTTTGTTATCTTTCAGGAGCATAGGGATGACGAAATCTGATAGACCCTTGTTCCTCAGGACCTGGGTCTATCAGCCAAGTCAGCCAGGGACTGAAAAGCAGACAGGTGGTCCTGCACAGGCACAGACGGTCCAGTTGATCTGGGAGGGCCCATGGAGTTAGAATATGTCCAAGTTCTATATCCTCCAGCCAGTTAGATGAAATGAACACCTTCCTTCTTATTCCTGCATATGAAGTAGACATTTTAGTGGGGAAATGCATACACAAGGAGTTCCACTCAATCTAGAACAAGGTTTGAGTTTCTTTACTTTTTGTGTTCCTCAGGGGTTGATGTAGGCCACTGCTCTGGTATCATCCCACTGAATCCTGGTTGGGTGACCTCATAGTTGAAAGGTCTAGTGTTGCAGAAAGTTGATTTGTTGAAAAAACAAGTCTCCTGTACCAAGAGGTCATCCAGGACTCCATCTCAGCCTCAGAGGCTGATGTTAATCATGAGCACTTTCCAAGATGTCAGGTGAAAGCACTTTCCTGATTCTAATGCCTGATTGGAAGTCCACCATGATGGCATGCCTGGTTTGGCTGGCCAAACAAATGGGATTATTCAAAGACTGAGTATGCTTGTCCCAGACAGCCAGAATTTTTTTTTTAATCAAGAAAAAATATTTATTGGAGATATGACTTGTACATCTTACATAACACAGGACATTCAAAGAAGAAATGGAATCTGATACAGTGCATAGATTGCGTTTACAGAGATTGATATTACACATTGCAGCAACACAAGAGCTATAAGACATAAGGCACCATCAACTGAAAACATTTTTGCTTTCTCCGACACAAAGCATGCTAACATCACCATGTCAACAAAGAATTATGTAACTATCACAATGTCATAAACAGGACAAAGAAGAGAAGTGTAACCTGAAAGTTCCTGAGATTAAACTTTGCATTCTTATCATCCGGCAAAGAACAAAGAGAATCTGTTGAGATCTCTACCTGCTCTATCCCTGCAAAAGCCTATCTCGAACCAATTGGTGCAGTGCTAGGCTTGGGACATCCAGACAAGGCTGCCATAAGTAATACAATTTCCTGGGTACATTTCTATGTTAATATGCGAGTTTTTCCCATATAAGCAGACAGCCAGAATGTTGAGTTGCAGATGTCTGGAGTCAAACTGAATTTACAATATCACCTCAGGGCTACCATTCGGCCCAAGACCCCAATGCAAAAGCGAATTGTGAGGTGTCTGTGAGACTGTAGGGTCAGACTGAGGAAGCAGAGCCAGGAGCTTGTTTTGATGGAAAAAGAAACTTTGCCAAGGCTGTGTCTAGAATCAGGCAAATATACTTTAAATGCTGATTCTGGAGATTCTGGAGGGTCAAGAACATTGTCAAGACTTAGATAAACTGTTCTTTCAGTAGGTAGTCTAGGTATCCAGGGATGTGGCTACTGTGGGAGTGCTGCAGAACTGGAACAGGAGCTAAAACCATGGTGAAGAACTAAGATGCCATAGAGAGGTCAAATAATGCTGCATGTCTCAAAGCAACATGCAGATAGTGTTGAGAGTAGAGGAAGATGGGATATGCAACTAAGCATCCTTGATATCCACAAAGGCCAGGAGGGTCCTACGGCAGAGGGGAAATGCTGCCTGACATGGCATATTCCATATGGATTCTTTTTTTAATCCAAAAAGAACCAATTGAGAAACTTAAGATCCAGAATGGAGTGCATGCCTTCTTTCGCCTTGGGGATGGTGAGCCAGATTGAGTAGAACCCCTGAAACAAGGGCAATGACTCTCTATGAGAGGAGTTGTTAGGGAGCAGTGTAAAGATCCAACCATGTTTGTGGGGAGTATGGCAAGTCTGATAGCATGTAGCTAGTGGGAAAAAGGAACAAAAAACAGGAGCACAGTACATGTAGTCAGAAATGTTCCAAATTTGAACTGTGGAAGTGGCTAATCCTGCTTAAAATTTACTCCTCGAGGACAGGAGTTGACAGAATCCTGGACACCCAAATACAGCTAAAGCACTGAATTTCCAGTGGAGATCAGAGGGAAAGGAAACCGTGGAAACAGAAAGAAATACAAAATTCCAATAAAGCAAAGAACGCTCAGAATGTTTGTAATGTTTTTATTGTTGTATGTACTTTTCTAGTGATTCCACCCCTGAATTTATGTCCTGGTATCACAAGGAAAGACAATAAGACAAAATTCCCCAATGCAGTCTCACATAACAATTAAAACCTGTCAGAGGTTCTAATACTTCACTGCTCTATATAGAACTGAAATTAACTTTCATTTAGAGTTGGGCTTTAAAACAAATTGTCATGTGCTTAAGAAAAACACTGTAGAGGAAGAAAAAAATGTGTAAATGATGCTGCCTGAGGCACTGGCACATGAGTGCCATTATGGTAAACCAGCCCTGGATATATAACTGTAAGGCCAGGGGTGCAGATTTTTTTTTGTTGCTAGGCTGGTAAACTCGAGAATACTAATGGCCTCACATGACATCTACTTTAATCTACCTAGTAAATGTGTCAAATCAGATCTAATACACCAGTTCTACAAACCACTCTGGTGTCCGACATGCCTTCCTCATAGAAATAAATGGACAGTTTGCTCAAAAGCTTTTAATACAATCTCTAAAAATCTTATTATTGCCATTGCTCCTGAAAAACAGCTAATATCACGATAAAAAAAGTATTATCGAGTTTCAAAAGAGAAAGCTTGCTCCATATCAGCTATCTTGGAAAGACATAATTTCTGCAAACAGTAGGTATTAATGGAATGAATCCTGGAGTCAGCACTTAAAGCAAGAATCCCGGGAACCATTTTGAAACGCCTGAAGAGATTTTTAAAATTCATCTAAATGCCAATAAACATCTGCCTATTTTATGTCATTGATTTCATCCATTTCTGAAGAGTAGCGTTTCGGAGGAAGAGAAAAGAGGTAAAGACGACAATTTAGGCACCACGGGGAGGAAAAAAAAGGAATCTTCCTCTAGGGAACAGCTGAGAAATGTACCGATATCTAGCTGATGATGAATCTTCTGTGGTCCTGCTTTCAAGGCACAGTCTATTCATGTGCTTTTATCAGCCAGTAATTCATGCGTGACTACTCTATTAGGAATATTTGGTCATCATGAAGGCAGCTGCCGCTGGTTCAGGTCTTGAGCTGATAGCGTGGATACCCTTCAGTGTTTATGTTTTCAAACATGAAAAAGGTAACAATTTAGTAGATAAGAGATGAGGCACTGCTCTTAAGGTAATAATGCTCAACTGCTTAAAAAAAAAAAGATCATTTTAAAGTCATTTTGCTCAACAGCAGTTGTGGAATCCCAATGCTGTTCGTAGAATATCTAAGGCTCTAGAAAACAAGATTAGCTATTGGCATTTCATCCAGCTATTTCATGCTGCTTGTTATTTCACTGCATTACAAGACTTTTACCGATCACTTATAAAGTTCCAAAAGCATCTACTCAAGTTTTTACAATTTAAAAAAAACCCTTAGTATCAGTGTAAACACACAGATAGAAATGCTCTGAAACAGATGCTTACACTGTGTGGCTTTCCAGGTTTTGCAGAACTACAATTACCGGGAACATTAGGTGAGACTTCTAGATGCAAACACTGCCTGCTGTTGCATGGCTGACCAATGGAACACTACAAGTCTAATAGCTGTAGCATAGGGTAAACTGTGCTTCCCTATAATCTCCATGGAAGCTCCCATGGTTATCAATGGCGTCAAACTCGTTAGGATGCTTAAAGTGAACCAGGGCTTTTCTGATGCATGCAAATGCAAAAGGTTCACTTATAAATAAAACCTTCCCTTTCCTTCTCTACTGACCTGCATGAGTGGAGAGGAACAACCCTGTGTAAGCTCAAAGTAAATTTAATCGGGGTTTACACAAATCTTAAGACTCTCTCCCTGCCACCAAATGACAAAGTTGGTGCCAGGCGATTGGCCGTTTAGGCACTCAGTGCTACATTATGGGAGAAAGGAGAGAGAGTAACATCCTCTGGCAGCAGGGTCAAGTAGAGGTAGGTATATGTGGGGAAGAGTGTGATCCTGTTGCTTTGCCATGCATGTGTAAAATACATTCACTTTAGGGGTGTTGTAAGAGGCACAGTATACAATTTTAATTGAGTTGTTTTTCGTGACAACAAAGGCCAGTATAATGGACTGCTAGAATTAGTTTTTGGTTGTTTTTTTTTTTTTTTTTTTTTTTTACACACATCAGTTTGCATTTTGGAAAACTCCTTTAAAACAAACGTTCTTATTGTGTTAGTAGCAAAGTGTATTTTACTCAAGCATTAACACGCAGTTAATATTCATTTCACAGAATCCTAAACTTGGTTGGCATTTCCATACGTTTTTAATGTATATTCCACTCACCTTCAAGGGGATCCTTGTTCAGTCCCAGCTGACTTATTATATATCTGGGTATATCTGTTTTAATGCCTTGTCCCTCTTTAGCATGGCCTTCAGCTGCTTCCAAAAGGTAATAAAATTCCTCAGGATCAAATTCCTGGTATAATTAATACAAAGAAATACATTGACATGTGCACATTTTACAAAGATTAATAAGCCACACCTACTGTTATTTAGCACTCAATACTTTACATGATTAAATTCCAACACCATAATATATTGTCTTGTTATTTGACTTAATTTACAGCGGACACTTTACAAGGCCCCTTTCACATGGAAGTCCAGTCAGGCCTGCCAGTTCATTTTTCAGGTGGATGACCGGACCCTCCATTCTCCTCTATGGGCAGTCAGATACAAATGGACTTTTGTCAGTTTACACCTGGCTACCTCCGATCCGATAAAAACAAACAGAAGGGAGATTTGTTCCTCTCTGTCTGGCAAGATCGGAGGGCAGTCGGCTGTAAACGGACAGCGGGTCCATTAACATCCGACTGTCCGTAGAAGAGAGTGGGCATGAGCAGAAAGGACATAGACTTGCCATCCAGCAGCTCCACGCAGCTCAGCAGGGGATCAGCAGACTGATCCCCTACTGAGCAAAATCGGATCTGGCCCATGTGAAAGTGGCCTTAGTATTGTTGAATGAAAGCAATTAGCTTAGGACTTGAATGTGTCTCTTTCTTTCCAATTGACACCCACCGTCTGAGAAATCTAGAATCTAATCAAGCCACTGATTTCACCAGAATGCCCCCCTAAAGCCCACTGAAGCTGACACTTCCTGTTCTCAAGTTAAAAAATGTAAACCCAAAACCAAAAAATAGATTGCAGCTCACCAGTCTCTAGATAAAAAAAAAAAAAAAGAAAACGAATGTCTGCACTTTAAGACCTATTTCTTTTCTTTTTTACCTTTAAATCCTGCAAATAACACACTTTCTGATCCTGTGTGGCTTTGTTCACTCCAATACTGCATATATGGCAGCAGTGATTGAATCGTTAGTCTACAAAAAAATTAACATCGTTTATGCTGTTAAGCTCACAGGAAATGGCAGGGGCCCTACATTACTGGGAAGACTGACAGGTATTTTCTGTACTTGCTGAAAATGTTTTAACCCTGAAAATAAAAACAAATGCAGTCACCAAATCTTAGCTTTACGGATCTTTTGAAGGAAAGGTACAGTGGTTTAATGTTTCTTGTTCTATGGAAAAGTGACAGAGCTACATTAATGAATGTAAAACTGTTTTCAATAAAAAAAAGAAGTATGGGCTTTAAAAAAACAAAAATATTACATTCACCTAGATGAATGCAGCATCTGTCCACCACCACCTCTGAATTGAGAAATGAGCGATCAAACATCGCTGATCACTCAGTTCTCCCCTCTGCTCTGAGTAGAGAGCCGTGGCTGTCAGTCATTGGCTCTCTGCTCTGCCCTTCCTGCACTCACTGGAGCACTGGGCTGTGGAGGGGGCGGGAGCAGCTGGGCACAGGCTCTTATCGGATCACTAAAAGGCTGACTATGTACTCTAGTATGATCACAGTATTTAAACGTTTTCTGTAGCATTATGACACACAGACTATTATGTTCCTCCCCTTGGGAGCCTCAAGTGTGACCCCTGAAATTCCTAATATTTAGTAAGATGACCATCACTGCTTTGCTCAGCGATAGCAGTCTCCAAAATGATTATAGTATATTTTTACAGAGAAGTAGTAGTAGACTACAGATATTTATATTTTTGAACAGAGCTCTCTCTGAGAGGAGCCAATATGAGGCAAAACTGTGTATTTTCTCGTAGCTTATATCACACTGTCACAAACAGCTGGTAATACAGACAAAAAAAAAAAAGATTATAAATCCTGCTGCTTACCAAGCATTCCAGTAACCTTGCTGGGCGTGCAATAACTATTAAGATTTTCTGGGCCAATTGTTTGATGTAAGCCAATTCCCCACTTTCAGATCGTTCTTGAGCCTATGAAAACCACAGAAAAAAAACAAATGGAAATTATATAGAATAAAAAAACATTTCTGCACTTCTTGTAATCCTTTTATTCTGTTTGCTGTGATCACATAAAGAACAGTGTACGGTCAGTACCTTATTCTATACTGAACTTTGTAAATTAGGATCATGAACACAAATAATATATGGATATGACATGATTCCAATAAAACAAACACATAGGCTTGCATTGACTTCCACTGCAAAAACACCCCATATGTCCTTGCAAGGTGGTCCTGCAACCCTTGCAATGTTAAAAATAAGACAAAAAAAGATTCACTATGGCAGCTGATAACAGTTTTTGCAGTAAAGCCAAATGAACAACTTCAGTTATTTAACAGGTCCCATGGGTCCAACACAAGTCTTCACCACACTTTGCAGTCCTAAAGATGACAGCTGTGATTAGTGGGATACCCTCTGCATAGCCGCTATGTTCACAAGTCCATGTGTTGCTCCATAATTTTCTCCTTGGCCAAAAATATACTGGCAGATGTTTTTATTTTGCCACAATTAACGCTGAAAGTGTACAGCTGCAGCAGAGACACTCTACTGCAGACCTGGGCAAATTGCATCCCCAGGGCCACATCTGGCCCTTTGGCTGTCTCCATCTAGCCCTTGATGCTTCCCCACTGTCAGCATGCCTCTCTGAGCCTGTCAGGAAGCTGACAGATATCAGCGTGGAAAGGTGGAAGAAGAGCACCTGAGGAGGATTGGTACAGTGGGAAGGTCCGGCTCAGACGGGAGAATGTTATCCTGGAGATATCCCAACGCTCTTCTGCCAATCTGCTACCAGGCCACGTTTTTCCTTTGTTAATGCCTGCACGCTGCCAAACCCAGGAACCATGCACTTGTTCTTCACTCCCGGTCAGGATCTGCAGAAATACTTGCTGTACCAATCTCAGGCTCTCTCCTTCCAGTCACAGTGCTTTTCAGAGGACATTTGACAAGCATTGAAGAGGTATTATATCGTCTCTCGCACCGCCTGATTTAACTCTATAATGCCGCACTACCGCACTTAATTGTGTGCATTGCATGCAGTTGCAGTGCAGCTCTATTGAACCCAATGGGTGAGTTTGACAAGCTGTGCCACTTGTCAAACTCTGCAGCCCAAGTTAAAAATGCTGTGGCCATGGCGTGTGAATAGCCCTGTCTGGCTGTTATTTAACAGTTTGGCTGGGCAGGTGGGTGTTTGTTAAAACCACAGCTCAGCTGCCGGTTTTTACCACTCCTAAACTGCCCATCTGAAAGAGACCTATTTCATAAACAGTTTTACCTATTATTCCCAGTGCCAGTTTGTTTTCTATATGCTTACGTACTTACAGAACTTCTAAGGTCCAAAATTAATACTGAACAGAATTAAGTTCAGTCCTCCACAACAGTCTCTGCTCTACTGTAAGTTTCATGAAAATACTAGTGTGATTACTTCATGGTATTCTGTAAAGTTGAAAAGAGTCCTTTAATTAGCACTCAGGGAAGGTCAATAAAATATCAAATGTGCTCTTATAAAGTTATCTTATGTGTGTTATCCATTATTGGACATGGCCATTTTATAAACAGACATAAGTCAATAAATTCTAAATCTGGTAACATCTCTGGCTAGCAGGGTAAGTAGTAACACCCTCTTTTTCTCTAATATCCTATCCTATATAGCCAGTGTCCTCAACCCACAATCTCCCAATAACACACATCAGCAGGGCTTATGGTTGTACAAGTCTTTTCTAAAGTACAAAATCCATGCTTCAAATGTATGTAAAGCCGAACACTGAACTTCACGTATTTGCTTTCTTTTGGTCTGCTTTTGTTATAGCTTTTGCAAAAAAATCATTCGATTTTGCCAGTGACCTTGTGAGCTGATGCATTCCCGTGCCCTCTACTTGGATACAAGGAAGAGTTATAACAGTTTTTTCTGCACTTGTAGAGTGTTTAAAAGGATGAAGCATAAGGAAATGTGCATGTATAGCAGATATTTAAAATATCATTTGTTTTGCCTTGAGAGATGTTTTCACTATTTTTGAGCCATAGAACTAGTATTCAGGTTGGCAATTCTGCCCGTATATTTGTTTAAGGTTAGCAATGGTCTCAGTAGTGAAGCAAAAGATTGATTGACAGACCTGCTGTTTGTACCTTTATCAATAGATCAGAAACGGCCACTGCCATACATATCCTGACTGGTATGCAAAGAGTGTTCCAGTTATCACACCAGTAGCAAAGAATGCGAGTTACACACAAAAGTAAATGCTTAGGGGATAAAGACAATGTAGATGTTGCCCAGATTCCAGATTTACGTTTTCTTTCGCAGCTTTGGATATCATTGCCTACTAGCTCAGGTTTTGTCTAGATATCCAAGTATCACTTACACTGTAGAAGAAATCTCTCTAAAAGTTATGTATTGTAGAAAAACTCTGGCTATAATAAACACAGAGCAAGAAAAAAATGAATTACTGTTTCACAGCTCTGCCTCAAGAAGCAGAAACTAATTTATCATCATCAAGTATGAAATAGCTGGAATCAAACTAAACTCTCTATAGTGGTCAGTAGATGGGAAATGTTCAGGCTTTTAGTTTTAAAATGAATATTAAGAAAAGGCCGACTTAAACCAAGGCAAAGACAGATATCCTAATTAAACATCCAAGTGTCTGGGAAGAGTAATGAAGATGGAAGGGAAGTTTATTTGGTCTTTGTTAGATACCATCTATTATTTTCTTTCATTTGTAATAGTATATTTAGGATTGCACTGAGAAAATGAACACCAAAGATCCTAAAGGGGCAAAAAAAAAAAAAAAAAGAAGAATGCATGAAAGGATATCCAAAATAAAATGATTTGTCCAAGCACTATAGTCAGAACATTTCTATACACTGTTATAATTTATAGTTTATCTTACTTTTCCCAGGGTATAAATGACTATATGGATACCCTGGGGAAAATGTACTGCATCTAAAAGCCATCTGCTCAGTTGGAGCAAAATAAAGAAATCAGCTCTGCATGGTTAGTGTTAAGAACTACAGGCTGAGAGCTATTTTATGCCTACACCTCGGTAGTAACACAGGAAGATTACCATGCACAAAGACAATAGACTAACTACTGCCAAAATGTATTTCCTTTTGACTCCAGTAAAGTGATCCAGGGTTAGAACCTTTGTCAAGTTTTTGCAGCTTTCCGTGATTCCATTAGGGAGAGTTTCCCTCACTTCCGGTTTCCTATCACTGAAGCTAGACATGACAGAATCTCTCTCCATCCTGAAGAAGTCACGTGATTAGCGTGATGTAACGCGTAGGTACGCGGGGAGGAACTTCCGGTACGCGGTGATGTCCTTCCGGTACGCGGTGATGTCATTTCCGGCATGGGCGCCATCTTGGTGCACCCTTATACCCATGCAGTACACCCATAGCATGAGGTGACAGGCGAATATTGTACTGCATACATGTGAGTGAGCATTTTTATTCAAGTTTAATGTCTTTAATAAAAGGTTATCGCACTATGGAGGATCTTTCTGCTTTATCACTTTGATCCTGTGTGGAGGGTGAGCGGTGTTGCTGATGCCAGTGGCTGGAGGAGGTCTTTAAAGAGAGGAGTAAGTGCCACCATTGATGATACCGAGTAAGGTGATTAACCTGTGACGAGTAATACCTGTGAGGATCGTGGTGTGATCCTAGAAACGAGCTGGCCCATGTGGTCACTGTAAGGAGGTGAGGGGACATTTTGGCCACTTGAGGATTTGCATCTGTGATGTGACCGCGATTACACATTATCACCTGCATAATTTTGATGTTGGAGCATGATTTGATATTTTCAATTTTGGACTATATATATTTTTGTACATAAGCATTATTTTGGTGTGTCTAGGATTTTTATCTTACTGTTTATGTGGACCATTTATGTGGTTAAGTGTGTTACACTTATCACTTTTGTTTTAGGATTTTATCCCTATCAAGGGATGCACACACAGTTTTGCACTATTGATTTGTGAATAATAGATCCCTCAAGTGTGGATTAAGGGGGATTGGGAATATATTTATTTTTCCTCACGTTTTAAATGATTGTTTGTATGGATGTCACTTTGTCACTTAATTTTACACCCACATATCCATGAAGGATCCTATCACTTTATTCTATATATTTATTGTATACTTATTTTTATATAGTATTTATAGCGCTGCACTATATTGTATTTTTTTCTCTCCAACCAAGCCTTCTATTCTTTCTGCAAGCAGATGCAATAGTATGTTCATGCACAAGTGGCTCAGCTGTCGTCTGCCTTTTGTTCACGGGACTCATTCATACATGTGCTAAACTACTGTACTGCTTCCAGAAAGAAGAATCTTCCCAACACATTGGCCATAAGGATGTCTACATGAAGTAATATAAACAACAATGAATCAGATTCCTCTTGAAGGCTCCTGGGATGTATAATATCAGTTGCCTAGACATGGAATCCAGGAAGGAAACGTAAAAAAAAGTTTAAAAGAAGTATGATATACTTCCCTATCTATTTACTAATGCTAGCAGCATAAGGGTTAAAAATAGTCAATGTTGATTGAGAGAGTGAAATTCCACTTTAATTCAAACAGCAGGCACATTTATATATGAACACGAATTTGCTGAATTGAATAGAGGTACCTTCCTTTTTATGCAGTTATTATCACTCAACAAAACAAGGCCTGGTTACAGCAAAGTTTTACCTCTTGTAATAACTTCTCTAACTTTTGTTGCAGCTCCAAGAAGTATCTTGAAGTGATGAGGCCCTGGTGGGATTTGTCCAGGCAATCTCGAGCCAGCTCCACAATCTGATGGTGGGTGAAGCTGAGCACGCCATCTGCAAGTGGAAGGACGTTGTCAGGATTGTAGTTGGTTATAATATCCTGAAGCCTCTCTTCCATCTGAGCCGTGGCCTGAAGAAAATAAAAAAAACCTTAGAAGTCTCATATGCAATGCTGTCAACCCAAACGATACCGTAAAACAGACTAGCTGCAGATTTGAACAGCAGGTGAGATTCATGTCTACTGAGTCCAGAACAGATAAATTATTCATCACAATTGCCATCCTGCATTAAAACTGTCCAGAACATGTATATTAAAAAGATGCAAAAAAAATTATTCTATGCTGCCCATATCAACCAAATTACAGATGTCATTATTTTTATCACGTTAGAAAAATATTGAAGGAACCCATTTCAACAGAAGCACTTTCAATTCAGATTATTTTAATAACAAAATATGTATTCAAAAGCAATACCTTCTAGAATGAGCATTTGTAAGAATCCAAATCTCAGATTGTGATAATAATACAGTCTTACCCCTCAGGGATGGGGCTGTATGCTTCTATTTACTTACATTCTCTCCTTGTCAGTGGAACAAATGTGAGATTGATAGGGTTGTAAGGCCCTTGTGGAAGCTGACTGGTCTTTTGCTTGTGCTCAGGCCTGATAACTACTTCCCTGCTGTTAGAGGACCAGTAACAGTAAAATAACAAAGCATTTACAACTTTTTCACGTTATACTAATACAACATTTTTTTTATTTTTTTTTTTTTAAGTATTAGTACTGAGCTTCAGCAAGACACAGTATGGCCTCACAACCTGACACTTGTAAGAGAATGCCAGTAAATCATCAAGCACTCTGGTAGGTGAGAACACACTATGATGACAATGTAAGTGAGAATATTTAGATTAATACAGATGTCAAATGGTAACTGTGTAGACAAAAAGTATCGCAGTCTGTAGGTGTGTTTCAGAAGACCACTTAGCTTTTTTTTATGATGTAATAAAGATAGCCTTCGTTATAAATATTCTTTGTAAATGGCACTCTTTGTAAATGGCACTAAACAAAATACAGAAGACACTACTGTAGTAGATATACTCTCAGGATAACAAAAAAAGTGCATCATTTATATATGAAGATAATTTTTAATCTGTACCCTGCCTGTTGACTAAGGGTCACTGGTGATCATCTGAAGGATACAAAGCGACAGAGCGAAAGCCTAAAACCACTGCTTTAGAATAAACCATTGGGTTAAGTGAGTGCATTACACAGGATTACCTTTGGAAACCGTTCTTTGTACACATGATTCATCATGATGATTTCATGGTCACAGCATGCAGGTGTACGTCCAGGGCTGCCAACAAAGAAAAAAAACAAATCACAGGTCAATACAACTTCTAAGCAGGGATTCTGCATGAACAGAGAATGGAGAATTGTAGGTGTGTGGCTCACAGTAACCTCTCAGCTAACAGAAATCCTTCATTAGCCTGACATCTGTATGCCACTCTATGATTAGTGGATAGGGGTCATACAATGGTCCTGAATATAAAGTCAAGTAGTAAATTCCTATACATACAGAATATACCAAGGTCTTCTACAATATTTTTAGACATTTCCAAACACTCAGTGTGCTTTCACGAATAGGATATTGATTAATAAACGCTGGTGTGCAGATACTCGGAGTAACTATTGACATTATCCTTTATTTATCTTACTACCTTCAACTAAAAATATAAAGGAAACCTCTACTGGGAAAATACACAGGAAGCTATCATTCAACTCTCAAGCCGGCCACAGACAGTTAGAATCGGCCAAGATTCAAACCATCTATGCCCAGGCTGAACATACCCAAGTTGATCAATTAATCAAACTGGATGCAACCATCCTGTTGGGTTGTACATGCAAATATTGCTAGCGGCTAATATAGCTGCTAGCAGTAATTACTGAGTTCTCCCAGCATGGACAGCTCACCCTGCCAGAAGAACACAATGGCTCTGTGGGAGGGATTCCCCCATCAACACTGACTGTGTTGATGGGGGAATTGAGCGAGATAAGATGTAAGACAAACAGTATTTTCCCCCTGCCATAAATTCCAGGATATAAAAAGGTATTAGCAAATGTAATGTGTAATTCCCCATAGATCTATGGACATTTTTCTCCAGCAAGAAAGTTATTTCTATACTGAGGGGAGACATTACTACAAGTGGAGTAGATAAGCTGTCCCAACTGCTTTTGACTTTTAGAAATAAGAATGTTAGAGAGATACCATTTTATTATATACAGTTGTGTCCAAAATTATTCAACCCCCACTGAAATTGAGTGTTTTGGCCAGTTTGACATTGCTTTTGATCATTCAGTCATCTTGCTTACATTTACATTAAAGAGGCACTTGTAGGTCAGACAAATATAACATAACAGTTATAATGAAATAAACCACAAATGTCTTTTCTGTGCTCACAGCATTATCAGTTTTATTCAACCCCCAAGTGACATTCAATCTTAGTACTTAGTACAGCATCCTTTTACAGTTATAACAGCTTTTAAACGTGAAGCATAGCTTGACACAAGTGTCTTGCAGCGATCTACGGGTATCTTCGCCCATTCTTCATGGGCAAAGGCCTCCAGTTCAGTCACATTCTTAGGCTTGCGCACTGCAACTGCTTTCTTTAAGTCCCACCAGAGGTTCTCAAATCGGATTTAAGTCTGGTGACTGCGATGGCCACTCCAAAATGTTCCAGCCTTTCCTCTGCAACCATGCTCTAGTGGACTTGGAGGTATGCTTGGGATCATTGTCCTGTTGAAAGGTCCAACGTCTCCCAAGCCTCAGGTGTGTGACGGACTGCATCACGTTTCCATCCAATATCTCCTGGTACTGAAGAGAATTCATGGTACCTTGCACACGCTGAAGCTTCCCTGTACCTGCAGAAGCAAAACAGCCCCAAAGCATGATTGACCCTCCACCATGCTTCACAGTAGGCAAGGTGTTCTTTTCATCATAGGCCTTGTTCTTCCTCCTCCAAACATAGCGTTGATCCATGGGCCCAAACAGTTCTAATTTTGTTTCATCAGTCCACAGAACACTATCCCACAACTTTTGTGGTTTGTCCACATGGCTTTTGGCATACTGCAGTCGACTCTTCTTATTCTTTGGAGACAGCAAGGGGGTACGCCTGGGAGTTCTGGCACGGAGGCCTTCATTACGCAGTGTGCGTCTTATTGTCTGGGCTGAAACTTCTGTACCCACATCTGACAAATCTTTTCTCAGTTCCTCAGCAGTCACACGGGGACTTCTCTCCACTCTACGCTTCAGGTAGCGCACAGCAGTCGAAGTCAGCATCTTCTTTCTGCCACGACCAGGTAGCGTTTCAACAGTGCCCTTTGCCTTGAATTTGCGAATGATGCTTCCTAAGGTGTCTCTTGGTATGTTTAACATCTTTGCAATCTTCTTATAGCCATTGCCCTTCCTGTGAAGAGAAATCACCTCTTCTCTTGTCTTCCTGGACCATTCTCTTGCCTTCACCATGTTTGTAACCACACCAGTAAATGTCTAGAAGGAGCTGAGTATCACAGTCATTTTAAAGCTGCCTAATTGGTGCTTATTATGCTTGATTGCTGCTCGGTGACATCCACAGGTGTTTTCAATACCTGATGGAAAGCACTGTATGAACCTCTGTTCTTCAGAGTGGTAGTCTTTAAGGGGTTGAATAATTGTGGCAATGAAGAAACCACATAAGAACCATTTACTACTGTATTACATAAACAATTGATGTCATTTTAGTTGCATTTGGGTAGTTACAACGTCCTTGTAGGATTTGATTCTGAATACAATTCCAAATGTACACTATAGTCCCTAAACCCCTTTACAGCATTGGGGGTTGAATAATTTTGGACACAACTGTATATTTTGTAAGTGCAAAAAATATATATTAATTTTGTCAAATTCATGGCTGTCCTGTGTGCTGTGCTCCCTGCTTGCATTTACTCAAAGAGACTAAATCCGGCCATATATGTAGCCGGTTCAACAGGGACTGGCCGAGATTTGAACCATCTATGGGCAGGCTGATTGTACCCAATTCTGTTGTTGTATGACGTAGCGACAACCAGCCTGTTGGAGTTTACATGTGGCTATAGCTGCTAGCAATAATCACTGTGTTCTCCTCGCTGGGAGAACACAATAGCTTCATGGGAGGGAATCCTCCATCAAGACTGACAGTGTCAAAATCAGTGGGAAATCAAGTGAAAATCACACCATGTATGGCCTGCCTTAATCCTCCCTGTTCTCATCTTGGACTACCAGGCTATCAATAAGAAGGCAGTGGGAGTGGTTAAGTAGTTTAGCAGAAGAAAATGGGCAGGGCTGACACCACTCTGTCTCCATAAATGCTGTTTGTTGCCAGTCAAAAATAGGAAATTAGAGCAGATCGACTGGTATTTTTCTGTACTTGAAGGGACTTTAAAGTCCTGCAAGTACATGTGCATTTATTGCAAAGACATAATGCTAACATCGCTGACAGGGCTTCCGTCTTCATCTAGTCTTCCTTCTGGGTTCACAGGCTTCGCCTGTTTAACTGGCCGAGTCAAGGTGACGTCAAGGTCGTGGCACGGCTCTCTCAATAGGGAGTGCAGTATGCATGCGTCGGTGACATCACTGGCTGCTATTATAGTAAATATCTCCTAAACGGTGCTCGTTTAGGAGGTGTTTTACTGTACCGATAGGTAAGCCGTGTTTACTGTACCTATAGGTAAGCCTTGTTTATAGGCTTACCTGTAGTTACAACTAAACAAGGTAGGTTTACTACCACTTTAAGGAAAAATAGATTACAGAACAAAAAGAGGGAACACAAGGAGGAAAGACGGGCTTGAAGAGAGATGGAAGAGGAGAGGAAAAAAAAGGATGCAGGCACAGGCAGTGATAACTAAAATGCTTAATTTTCTTCATCCTGGATTAATCTTTTAATCATTTAATTTGCAGCACATTGACTTTCGAGTGGAGAAGACAGCACACCATAGGACCTTCTGATGTGATGTTTGAAAGGATGAAGGCTGCATCTCAGTGGCTGGATCTCACTATCAGAGTCATGATAAAAGATAGCGGGTAAACAAAATACCCAGCATCCACCAAAATCAGAACTGTGACCAAAGGGTAGATTTCGCCTTCAGAAAACCCCCACTGACAGAGGTGATTCTTTTGCAAATATGGACAATAAAGTAGTCAGGATTTTTAAAATTCAAAATAGAAGCCATTAGTTCAGCTTAATGGCTTGGAACACCCATGTTTTTCAATAACAAACCTAATAAGAGTCACATTAGTAACGTACAATGGCTTGCATGTGGTGTATTTCTTCATGAAAATGTAGATTTTTTTCTTCCCAGTCAGCCATAAAAATTATGCAGGCACTTTCTATACACAGGTTGATTATTTTAAGATCACATTTCACGTTTGGTACAAGAGTAAATTTAATTCTGATTGATTATTTTTTTTCTCTCCGACAGCGGCAGATAACGCACCTGAGACTCCTAGAGCGAGGTCGCAGCGGAGTATTCCGGCATCTGTCATCGCTGGCAATACTCTCTGTACAGAAATGTTTGGACAGAAAATGGAGTTCATCAGGCGTAGGTTGATACGGTAACTGGTGCAGCTTCTCCTGGGAGGAGCAGGAGGACTGTGGAAACACAAGAAAGAATGGTCAATATATTTCACCTATACACTTTTTCCATTCTAAAGAAGTAACTTACTATATTCTTTAGATGGTAATTGTCAGCTGAGGGATGTCTTAAGTTTCAACTGCAGACAAGACTTCCCACTAACAATGTTAGTTTGTACTCTTTAAACCTGGAGCTCACAATTCTCCCATATATTTACTTCACTGACACTGCATATGTTAACAAATCATGGAAAATACCCACTACTCAGAAAACGGGCATACATTGCTACATCCCAATGATAGGAGAAAAGACAGACTGGAGGGAAACCTGTCAATGAAGGTGGAACTTTAAAGGCATTGTACTCATACAGATCATAATAGATAAAACAATAAAATGTATTAGTTCACATAAAAATTAAAAAAAAATTCCATATCCATTGTGTGCAAAACTTTTCTTAAAATCATAGTTTCAAAGATGATGTAGTGGCACATTAGTAATTCCGACGCGTTTCGCAGTTAACATCTGCTTCATCAGGGACCTGTTGGGACTGTTCAAATAATTTGTTCACAATTATTACATGGCAATAAAATCATTCAGGTAGATAACATTACATCTCTAATTTACAGAAGCGTACCACCACATCTATTACCACATTCATCCAAATAGATGTGGTGGTAAGCTTCTGTAAATTAGAAATGTAATGTTATCTACCTGAATGATTTTATTGCCATGTAATAATTGTGAAAAAATATTTGAACAGTCCTGAAAGGTCCCTGATGAAGCAGATGTGAACTGCGACATGCATTACTAATTATTATTATTATTATTACTACGAGTTTATATAGCACCAAAGGGTTTGCTCAGCGCTGTACAATAGGGGGGACAATACATGGCACAGTACAACAACAACAAACAACGTACGAGGGGTAAGAGGGCCCTACTCTTACGAGCTTACAATCTAGGAGGGAGGGGGTAAAGGTACAGTAGGAAGTGGCTGAGGGGGATGAAGTGGTGGGAGGAATGAGGGAGGATGGCCATTAGGTGAGGGTGGGGTAGGCTTCCCTGAAGAGATGGGTTTTGAGGGAGCACCTGAATGTGAATAGGGAAGGCGACAGTCTGATGGATTGGGGCAGTGAGTTCCAGAGGATGGGGGAGGACCTGGAGAAGTCCTGCAGTCGTGCATGGGAGGAGGAGACCAGGGAGCAGGATAGAAGGAGGTCCTGTGAGGAGCGAAGGGTACGGGTAGGGTGGTACTTGGTGATCAGGTTGGTGAGGTAGTCAGGGGCAGTGTTGTGAACGGCTTTGTTAGGTCAGGGTTAGGAGTTTAAATTTGATGCGTTGGGCAATCGGGAGCCAGTGGAGGGAGAGGCAGAGGGGTGGCAGAGGTGGAGCGGGTGGTGAGGTGGATGAGTCTGGCAGCTGAGTTCAGGATGGTCTGGAGCGGGGAGAGCCTGCACTTGGGTAGGCCAGTGAGGAGGGGTTTGCAGTAGTCAAGGCGTGAGATGATGAGGGAGTGTACTAGAAGTTTGGTGGTGTCTGGGGTGAGGAAGGAGCGTATCTTGGCAATGTTGCGAAGATGGAGCCTGCATGTGTTTGTGAGTGATTTGACATGCGGTTGGAGGGAGAGGTTCGCGTCAAGAATGACGCCAAGGACTTTGGCTTGCGGGGGGGAGTGATAGTGGAGTTGTTGGTGATGATGGATAGGATGGGGGGGGGGGGGGGGGTGTTGGCAGGGGGAAAGATGAGGAGCTCGGTTTTGGAGAGGTTGAGCTTGAGGAGCTCAATGGGACACTACATCATCTCTGAAGCTGTAAATGTTTTGTGCACAATGGTTATGGAATTTACCATTTGTATGTGAACTAAAGAATGTTATTGTTTTCTCTATTATGATCTGTATGAGTACAATGCCTTTAAAGTCCCACCTTCATTGAGAGTTTTCCCTCCAGCCTGTCTTTTCGACTGACACTGCATATGTTATTCTTGTAATATGGCATGCATGAAAATATCTAAAAGTTAGAAGCCCATTCTCAACTTGACATTCTGTCATTTATGTTTTCAAATATCTCACCAGTGTTCCTTTGTTATCTATGCTAACATGTCCAAACATGACATGGAAAGGTTTGATGGTATCCTATAAGCGCACCTTTAACAGCACAAAGCATGCGCTGAATGTCCAAAAGTCAACTCCAAGTTGACCCTGAGATTTTTTGCAGCAACTTTGAAAAGATCCTTATTGAAGTTTAATCTTAGGTAATAAAATTCTTAGCAAGGTAAAGGATGCATGACCTATAGGGACCCCCCACAATGCGATGCACCAAAATCTACTCCTTGGTTCTGTCACTCAGTGGAGATGATCTTGTCTTTTTTTATTCAGATAAAAGAAGAAAATGGCATTCCAAAACTTTTTGCTGAAAGGCTGAATCTATATAGCACGAATATGTTCAAAAGTCAGAAGTGCTTTTAAAGTATAACTAAAGGGAAAACTTTTTTTCTTATAGATTTGGATGAAGTGAAGAAGGATTTGAACACCTGTCAGATTTTCATTGCCATCTGTGCCCCCATTAGGAAGATTCAATTTGTCCTATCCCACTACCATTGAAAGTAAAAAAAGAAACTTAAAATTTTGAGTTGTCCCCAGAAAAGTAATAGAGGGAAAATTTTACAATAGGGACACTGGTGATCTAGAGGGCCCCAAGGATTTCTATTAATTTTCCAGGATATTATTTAACTTCCTGTTTTGGCTATGGGATGGAAAGTGAAGGTAAATCTCCCCCATAGGCTCAGATGGCAAAAAATAAACTGACAGGAGTTAATACCCCTCCCTTACTCTATCCAAAATGAAAACAAAAGTTTTGCCTAAAGTTCTACTTTAAGGCAATTCTTGAATGTGCCATACTGTTGCCAAAAACTGTCCTGGTACAGAACCTCTTCGGTATCAATGTAGCATTTTAATATGCAGTAGGAAGGCTTTTTCTCTTTATTTAAGTCAGGCTATCTTGGAACTCTACAATGGGAAGGTTTCAAGTAGGCCTGGGAAAATGCCCTTTCTGCCTCTATATAGAGGGCCCTACATGGAAAAAGAAAGTATGCACATTACTACTCATGCAATGTAAACAACATACTCCAGGAAAATCAGCAGGTCTGAAAAAATGATGTAATAAATGTTCTTCAGCTGTCATTGAAGACTACAAAAATTAGCACCAATCACCATCAAAGATGGTTTGTTGTTTACATGGCTGCATCTGTCTCCAGTGTAAGAGAATCATGTCTACAAAGCACAAATGTCTGTTTCAGATTGTAGAAATCTTTCTTAAATGTCAGGCCAGAAGGTTAGTTGAAGGAGAATATGAAATGGATGATATCAGCAATGTGGTTATTCTTTATTTTTTGTTGACAGGCAAAATGAAATTGGACAATGACAAGTCATTACTGACTGGTTCTCTACAGAATACACAAATATCTCTCCTTACTGAAAAGAGTTTATGATCCAACGTGAAATAAAAGGTCAAAAATCTAGCAAGGAGCCTTCACATATCAAATGTTCATATACCTTTGAGATATATATATATATATATATATATATATATACATACACATACATACACACATAGATACACACATACAGTACATTGCACCAATTTACAGACAGCTACTACATGGGATGATTTACCTTGATAAATGATTGCGAGTTATATGCTCTTAGTGGACATCAAGCAAGGAGGGAATTTAAATTACTAGTCTTCATTTTACAAAACATAGCCAGAACTGAAAGGGTGACAGGGTGTCATTCTGTGACATATATACTTTGTTACAGAATGGCCACTAGGCATTACACCTTCTGTAACTGTTGAGATTATATCACCTACCCACATATACAATCATGTCGCAGAATAAACTGACATATTTTCAAGGTTGTTATACAACTATAAAGGCAAGTGAATAAAAAGGTTGACCTGTATGACACACTCTCTCTTTATGAGCTCCTGTGAACTCAAACTAGAACAACATGCTATGTATCTGATCTGACTGGACCATGTACTATGATACTGCAAGACACACTCTTCCAGGCTGGAGGTGGCAAGCCCGTTACTGCCCACTGTTGCGTTTCTCCAGGGTCAGGAACCCTAGTCATATTTTTCCTACAACATCACTATTTGCATCTATTAGATGTAATGCAACTTTATGGTATCTTTCACATGGGCCTCCTGCATTTATTTTAGTTAAACAGATGAGAAATTGATCTAGGAAGTATAAATGAACTTCATACTTTGAAGGTCAAAGTCAGGTTTCTCCTGTGTTGAAATGTACATGAGTATTTAATCTGCCCCTGGATGCAGAGATTTCTAATTTTTCAGAATGTAACTAAACGGAATGCACCTTAACTCAAGTAAAAGCACAATGAAAAACCATACCATTTAAAAATCATTACATGTATTTAAAATATTCTATAAATGTTTATTAGCGCATGCCCATGTGATTGAGGCCTGTGAGTGCCCCTGTATCTCTGAGCCACACTTTAGCTTACCTTAAAGTGTTACTAAACCCTGGACCCTGAATTCACTATACCTGGTCCCCCAGAGCACACAGAACATGGAAATGCAATTATTTTAGTAAATATAAACTGCTAAATACTTTTTCTCATCAGCAGTATATAGCAGTCTTGCGACTTCCATCAGTGTTCAGCCGAACACTAGTTAATCATGTAGGAGTATTCATTCTCCTCCGACTGTCCCATGAGGCTGCATGATCCCTGACCCTCTGTCTGGACAGCGCTGATTGGCCCTGTGCTGATCACATGCACCCTCCAAAACAAACAAAAACCACTCTAGCAATACACATTAAACAGAGCATGTGCAGACTTGCCACTGCTGCTCTGTACTATGGCAGATGCATTGATGACTGTGGAAGAAGGGGAGAATCTGAAGTCAGGATCAAATATCCTTTTTACACAATGCGGAAGATTAACCCCTTAGGTTCCACAGTGAGTATAACAAGCATGCTTTACTGCATATACAGA